GCAGCAGCAGCAGCAGCAGTGGGGTCCTCTGGGGTTTGTCAGCATTCAGAAGGTTGAGAGGATCCGAGAGGCATCTGCTGCTGCTGCTGCTGCTGCTGCTGCTGCTACTGAAGCTGCTGCAGAGTGTACAGAACGAGAGACCCTGCTGCTGCATGCAAGTCTGAGGCCCCCCTCATGCACGCCATTTTTAAACTGCGGCAGTAAAACGCATCTCTTCTTCCAGAGCAGCAGCAGCAACAGCAGCACCAGCAGCAGCAGCAGCAGCAGCATCAGCAGCACATATCCACCTGCTCACTGTTGCTGCATCGCCGATGTGCAGGTGCACACCCCGTCCCTTCTGCTGCCTCCTTCAGCAGCAGCCCGCAGCAAGCCTGAGAGCTCCCAGCGGCTGCTGCTGCACCTGCATCCTGCATACCTCTACCTACTGGAGCAGCAGCAGCAGCAGCAGCGGCAGCAGCAGGAGCAGCAGCAGCAACGGGAGGAGGAAGATGATCTACAGCCGTGGACTGCAGCAGGAGAGGCTTTGCTCCTTCGGGCCATTCAGTGCTGTCGCGTGGGAGAAGCAGCAACGTTTCAGGTGCAGCTGCAGCAAGACAGCAGCAGCAGCAGCAGCAGCAGCAGCAGCACAGGCGAGTCAGGGCAGCAGCAGCTAGTAGTAGCACTGTCTGTACACCTTATAGACGTCCTCCCCCTCCCTTCCTTCACGCATTCATTCTTTGGAAGCAGCAGCAGCAGGAGTAGCAGCAGCAGCAGGAGCAGCAGCAGCAAGACACAGCACCAGCATGATCAGCTGACGAAAGAGCAACGCTCTTCTGACCTGCGACAGCAACAACTGATGCTGTGCATACAGTGGCAGAGGGCCTTGCTGCTAGTGCAGCGCGAGCTGCAGCAGTTTGCTGCTGCATGCATTGCTCTGCTGCTGCAGCAGCAGGACCGGCCAACTCCGTTGCTGCGTCGGCTGCTGGCGTGCGCCTGCAAGAGCTGTCGAGACACTGCAAGGCCCCTAGCAGCAGCAGAGCAGCAGGAGCAGCAGCAGCAGCCGAAGCAGCAGCACCGCAGCAGCTCCAGAGCGCCACTACCCCGCCGCAATAGCAGCATGACAACGGCAGCTGCAGCAGCAGCCCGCAGTTTACTAGGCCTAGCTTCTACGGAGCAGCAGCAGCAACAGCAGCAGCAGCAGCCAGGCACCAGCAAGCTAAGGGGCCTCCTCATGAGAGGCAGAGCAAAGATATCACGGCCCAAAGTGGAGGCAGAGCAGCAGCAGCAACAGCAGCAGCAGCAGCAGCAGCAGCAACAGCAGCAACAGCAGCAGTATCAACAGCAGCACAGCGGCTCCGTTGTCCGTAGCCTGAGTCGTCAAGGCCTGGCCTCCACGTTTCGACGCCTCCGCAGCCGCAGCATCGACAAGTGGATGTACCAGCAGCAGCAGCAGCAGCAGCAGCAGCAGCAGCAGGGTCATGTCTCCTCAGCAGCAGCAGCAGCAGCAGCAGCACAAGGTTTTCCTAGCAGCAGAGGGGACCCCGGCAAAGAGCTAGAAGGGGGCAGCCTCTGGCGTCTGTGTGCGGCTACCCGAAAAGCCAGCACTCTTCTTTTCCTCTCAGACTTTCAGCAGCTATTTGACGCTGCATGCGCTAGCAGCAGCAGCAGCAGCAGCAGCAGCAGTGGCAGCAGCAGCTGCAGCAGCGACACACCAGTGCTTAGATCCTACCGGCGGCGGCTGCGGGAGTTGCTGCAGCAGGGCGTCTGCATCCAGGGCGTGTTGGTGCAGCAGATCAGCAGCAGCAGGCTGTGGCAGCAGCTGCAGCAGGAACAGCGAGCAGCACAAGCATCCCTGTGGCAGCAGCAGCAGCTCGCGCTTTCACCGCTGTTTCTTCTTCTGGAGCTAGGCGGCCTGTGCTTCTTTGTCTGTCCCCTGCAGCAGCAGCAGCAACTCCAACGCTTTCAGCTGCCGCTGCTGCCCCTCTGCCTGCAGCGCCTCATTTCGGGCTGCGGGGAGGCTGCAGCAGCAGCAGCAACAGAGCGTGGCGACGCATTGGTCAGAGCGCGTGATACGCTGCAGAAGCAGCAGCAGCAGCAGCAGCATGAACTTGGGGCCCCTTTGGCTCTCACTGACGCTCTGCTGCCGCTGCCCTTCACTGCTGCTGCCTTCTCAGGGCTCGTGTGCACAGAGGCTGCTGCTCTTGAGGCTGCAGGAGACGCAGTATGGATGCTGCAGCAGCGCTTTCTACAGCTCCAAGACAGCCAGGAAGAACCACAGCAGCAGCAGCAGCAGCAGCAGCAGCAGCGAGTGTGGGGCCTTGTATATGAGGCTGACAGTGCGCTCCCTTCCTTTGTGCCTCTGGATGTGCCTGCAGCAGCAACGCAGCAGCAAAGGCAGCGGGCGTTCCTTGCAGCAGCAGCACCACCTTCGTTTGCTGCTGGTGATAGTAGAGGCCAGCAGCAGCAGCACCACTGGCAGCCGCTGCAGCATTGCCCCCATATCTCCCCGCACTCCTGCTGCTGCTGTGCTTCAGCAGGGCCTAAACAAGAGCAACTCTACAGCAGCAGCAGCAGCGGCAGCACGAAGGCCTTTTGCCATCGTTGCAGGGTTGCAGCAGCTCCCTCTACATGGCCAGCAGCAGCAGCAGCAGCAGCAGCAGCAGCAACAGCAAGCAGCTTTGAGGAGACACCAGCAGCAGACTTCGTCACCGGAGAGTCTTACGTCTGGACCTCAAGGGGTAGGGCCCCCCCCTTTGCGGGGGCCCCCGTCGAGTCTGTCAGCCTCGCTGTGCTGCCCAAGGCATGTGTTAAATATAGACGATCCAGCAGCAACAACAGTTGCAACAGCAGCAGCAGCAGCAGCAGCAGCAGCATGAGACTGCGCGCCAGGGCTGTAGCAGAGGCGCTGCTGCAGCGGCAGCTGCCGCATACCGACGGCCCCACAGTCCAGGCTGCTCTGAGACAGGGGGGTCTCTCTGCGGGTGTGGGTTTGTGGCTGCTGCTAGATGAGTTGCTGCTGCTGCTGCNTGCTGCTGCTGCTGCTAAGGACGAACAACAGCGGCAGATATGTTGCAGCAGCAGCGCTCAACTCGTCGCCACAGCAGCTGCATGCGTCTTACTATGCAAAGCGTTGCATAAAGTGCTGCGGTATGAGCAGCAAGTCGCGTGCTGCTGCTGCAGCCCTGCTGCTGTTTGTGAGCACTTCTCTACCTACGCCGCTCTGTGGGCGTTTTCAAGCGAAACACAGCAGCTGCTGCAGCAGCAGCAACCCGCAGCAGCAGCAGCGACAGCAGCAGCAGCAGGTGTGCAACTTGAAAAGGGTCTCCGTGAGAGCTGTTTGCTGCTGCTGCACCGCCGCGTCTGTCTGGCTCTTGCAGCCTCTCTTATCCGTGCAGATGCGCTTAGCTGCATGCTGCTGCCGCTGCCTATGCTGCTTCGCTGCTGCCTCTCCGCTGCTCTCAAGAGCCCTTCTGTTCTCTTTGAGGAGCTGCAGCAGCAGCAGCACGCGCTGCCGATCAGCCGCTACGCGCCTGCTGCTCAGCCTTGGGTCCCCGCATCTGGAGCAGCAGCAGCAGCAACGGCCGGAGCAGCACCAGGAGCAGGAGCAGCAGCAGGGGAAAGCGAAGCAGCAGCAGCAACAGCACTGGGTCTGTGGGGCCGCGTGGCGGTTAAGCCCCCGTTGCCCTGCGCGACGGCCTGTGTCTCTGCTTTGCTGCTGACGGAGCTCGTGCTGCATCCTCCTACACCCGGCAGCGCCTTGAAGGCCCCTTGCGCTGACTCAATAGAAGAAGAAGAATATTTCGTGGGGGCCCCGCTGCTCGACTGGGGTTGGTTGGGGGCCCCCGGGGCCTCCGCAGCCGCTGCCCTTCCCTTTGGGGGGGGTAGACGACTCTCCCCTCTCTCTCTGCCTGCTGCTGCTGACCTAGGGGGCCCCCTGCAGCACCCATTGAGGGCCCCCAGGGGGCCCCAAACAGAAGCGGTGACGCAGATACTGAGCCCGGAGTTTATTGCTGCTGTCCCCGCTACCCTGAGGGGGGGGCTGCTCTGCCAGCTGCTGCTGCGCGCACTGGCACCTCCAGAGCCAGCCCCGTGGAAGGCATATCGCATGCAGCAGCAGCAGCTGCAGCAGCTGCAGCAACAGCAGCAACAGCAGCAGCAGCAGCAACAGGGATATGTTCTGGGGAGACGCCTCGACGGCGTTTCTGCCGCAGCAGATGACCACTTGCTGCGGCTGCTGATGCTGCTGCTGCTGCACTTTGACAGCTGGCTGGGATTTTCAGGGCTCCCAGAGCAGCAGCAAGCCGAGTACCCTGCAGCAGCAAAGCGAACAGGAGCAGCAACTGCAGCAGCAGCAGCAGCAGCAGCAGCAAGACCCGGAGACTCTGATGGGCCCCGGCTCGTTGCCCCCTTTGGCCTAGACGGCGGGTTCTGCGCCCCAGGCAGCAGCCTGCGGCAGCACCAGCTCAGCATCTTCGCGGCCCTTTCAAATGCAGTTGAGGGGCTTCGCTTGGGGGGGCCCCCAGGGGGCCCCCAGGGCTGTCTTCTTGCTGCTGTCCTGTGAGCTTTCTCTTTACCCTCTTAGCTAGCCACACGGCCCCACACGTCGCAGCTAGCTAGCTGGTTACGCTTCTAGCTAGCTGCCTTCATGGCTAGCTAGCTGTCAAGTTGCCACGGTCTGCAGCTGTTGCGGCTGCAAGCAGCTAGCTAGCGATTGGGGGGAAAACCAGGGAACTAGGTGCTCCCTGTCAGTGTGGCTAGCTAGCTAGCTAGCTAGCTAGCTAGCTGCTGAACAAGCTCATGGGTGGAGCAGGGGACTGGGGCCTTGTGTTCTTGTTTGTGTCTCCCAGGGGCCTCTGCCGGCTGAGACGGGGATTCGCTGCCTCAGCCAAGCGGCGGCTGATGGCGGCCCTGGATATGCTGCAGCGGCACTACGGGTGCCCGCTGCTTGAAGGCAAGTGCATAGCTGCTGCTGCTCTGCTGCTGCTGCTGCTGCTGCTGCTGCTGCTGATAGGGCTGCTACTGTGTCAGCTAGTTTTGCCTGCTGTTCTTCTGCTGCTGCTTTGTCTGCTCAGAGGGGGCGGGGCATCCCTTTGCTTCTGTGTTGAGTTGGTTGCTGCTGCTG